GGAATTTAATCATTGATTTGGGGAAAACTTGAAGAAAATCAAAGTGTCTTTTTCTGGAGACAGTTTTGTATTTGACACAATTAACTCTATTGGGATTTTTTTATTATTAGAGAATAGTAAAAGTCAGTGCAGTTAGTAGATAAGTATAGAAGAAAACAGAAGTTGGTTACATTATCTGCCGGCTTCTTGTCTTTATTAACAGTGTTCTAATATGATTAACCTAAGCAAAATAATTGGCGTTCATTATTCAAATTTGGCTTTTGGTACATGTGTGTCTTCATTTGCAAAGTAGTTTTCCTAACCCTCCTGGGCTTTCCAAATAAGCCCCCCTTTTGAGCCTCAACCCTACTGCACGTTTTCCATTACTTAAGAGAAAGGAGTCTGAACTTTCTTTTCTTAACCACTGTCATGCTGCACAGTTTTATCTGCTAATCCAGAAGAGTATTCTGCCTCTGGATTGTCAGTTACTTGTTCTGTGGTATTTGGGATTGAGAAAGAGAGGAGACAATTAGCGCTGCCTTTCTGTGGAGAGCCTGTGGCATCTGCAAGGTCTTTTACCCGAGCTTATAGGAAATTGAAAGATTAGCTGCTTCTGTTTAGGACTGTGGTGGTGGTTGTTGGCTGCTGCTGTTGTTTTTTAAAGATTGAGTAGGATGCTTCCAGATCAAATGTAGGCGCTGGGCTCTGAACTTGCTCACTCATTGGAGGGTTCTAGAAAGGCTTTACGGGTTTATTTTTCAAAATGCAAACATATAAACCTCTTTACAACTGGTTTAGTTTAAATGTAGGACTTAGTAACACCCTTAAAAAACAAATAAGGTATCTCTGGTCACTGCTTCTGATCCCAGAATAGTCAGGAAAGATAAGCACTTACTGATTATAAAAAGAAACAGTGTTTTACAATGACCACAGTTTTACTCAGTGATATTGACAGGTATTAAATATGTTGCTGAGCCGGTGGTAGGAGGAAAAGTGAGCACATAAGTAAGGAAATGTTTTCTTTCTGCCTAGTTTTTATTTTAATGGATCCTAAATGTTTCCACAGAGACATCACAAAATCTGTTTTAAAAAAAAAGTACCATCATGGATAGCATGAAGATTTAGGAGAATCTTCTTAAAATGTCTGTGCCTCTTAAAAAACAAAACAGTACTTTTTAGTTAGTGGTTTAAAGAAACTTCAAATATATCTGACCCTTACAGCCCAGTGCAGGCTTATAAGGTCTTTATAGAACTACTTGCATCTGCATGACATTAGAATACTTTGTTTTCTTGATTTAATATCAAGGATCTGAATTTCTTCTTACATGTAAATTTGTATTTATGATGTTACCAAAAATGAAACTGTCTATATTGTAGTAGTTTGAATGTCTTCCCAATTTTTATTAACATAGAAAATACAACTGCTCTTTTTCTTCACTGGTAATGGCATTATTTCCAGCCTTTGATCCCTCCCCCTACCCCCAGTAAAAGATTTTCTCAGATGTGTGTTTTTCTTTACAGCTTAATGTAGAAATGTTTAAAAGACAACACCAAAGTATAAACTGTATTCTAATCCTTAGGCTTACTGTGGGCTTCTGACAACCATACTCTGATCAGACTGTAATTTTACTTAGGGGAGATTTTCAGTAAACTTTTGGAATTCTGCTATAGCCATCAAACTTCCTGCTTTGGTTGATTGTCCACTAGGTCCCGATTCTACATTTCAGACGACTGTCACCTTGGCATAAATTTGCATTAGAAGCTTAGTTTAGACAAGTAACTATTTCAAGGAGATACTTAGGAACTGAGAACTTTTCCTTCTTCCTCTTTCCATTTCAACCTCTGAGCCCCTCCACTTTTTATCTTTTTTATAATTCAGCTAAGATTTGTTTAGAAACAAGGGTTTCCTCTTTAAAAGGGGGGTGGGGGAGTGTTGAAAACCACTGGTTTAGACTAAGCAGCTTATGTTTAGGTGTTACTGGGAAGAAGGAACCATTCCTGTCTAGCTCTCAATGCAGTGTAAGATTTCTTATGAAAATTGTAAATTTGTATTCACTGATATAACTGATGCATTAGTTGTCACTCTGGTATACGTTCAGATTTCAGTTCCCAGATATGAGAAAGTTGGAGTTATACTTGCAGGTGATGGAAATTAGGGCATGCTATCATATTTACTTCTGTACTTGCTAGCATGTTAAATTAGTACCGTATGTTCTTATTAAGAACTTGGGAAACCCAAGAATGCACATAAAAATATGAAGAATTATATCCTGGAAGATGCCATGTTACATCCACACTTGCAGTAGCTTAAAATATAATCTGGAAAAGTTTGATCTGGAGGCTTTTTTTTCTCCTGGCTTGTTTGATTAACTGTGCCAGGTCAAAGGTTTAAGGTTAGGTTTTATGGGGTTTTTTGTTTTTTTGATTTAACTTTCTGTGGGCACAGTTATAAATGTTTTTCTGCTTTCTTTCTGCCCCTAAAAACAGAGACTAAATGATGTCATCCTTGATCCCTTTGCAAGGGACCTTATATACATAGACAAACTTCACTGACTGTTGGTACATCAGGTCCTGCAAACCTTGCCTTGAGCCGTCTAAACTAGAACCGTCTGCTCTCGGGTTCCCCTCTGTCTTCCTGACCCAGAAGAGCCTCAGTACAACACCTGACTTGATCCAAGCCTTTTGGCAGAGCTGTTGTTTCATAAATGATTATAATTATGTTCCTCAGATAATGACTTCTTTGCTCAAATGAAGTTCACTGTCATTGAGGTGCTGCTATCCTTTGCCTGTACAGGTTCAGCCTATAGATATTTCCTCATAAGACAGGCTCATCCTGCCTCATTTCTCTTCGTATGTGGAGTAAAGGAGTATTTTTGGTTTTGGAATTTGGAGGGGAAAGAGAAACCTGTGTTTGATCAGTCTTTTGTATGTGTTTTCAGTTCATCTCTAGCCTGGGGCTACAGATCTCAGATTTTCATTTCTGCCATCTGACTCCTGCTTTCTAAGACAGCACATGAGTAGCAGTTTGGCCAGGATTATTAGTAAAATTTTAATGTTTTGGACCCCGTCAGTAGGTGTGGGTATAATTCACAAAGATCAATAGGAAGGAATGTGGCTGAATCATTCAGCAGTGAATTTAAATCATTCTCAAAAACTGGTATTTTTAAGTCTAGTTCATCAGATGGCATATGCTTACCCAAATGCTACTTATTTTCAGTTAATAAAATACTTGCAAATGTTAACTCTATTATTAATAGGTCATTGAGCTTTCCCCCAAATCTTTTAACGGTTCTTTTTTTATTATTTTTGAGTGGGGGAGGGGCAGAGGGTGAGGTTGAGAATCTTGAGCATTCTCCACGCCAAGTGCAGAGCCCGACACTTAACCGACTGAGCCACCCAGGCGCCCCCTTTCTAATATTCTAAAAGATTTAGGGGAGGGGCATCTGGGTGGTTTAGTCTGTTAAGCATCCAACTCTTGATTTAGGCTCGGGTCATGATCTTGGGGTTGTGGGATCAAGCTCCATGTCGGTCTCTGCACTGTGCATGAGCCTGCTTGGGATTCTCTCTCATCCTCTGCCCGTCCACCTACACCGATCTGCCTGTCTCCTTCCCCCTGTCTCTAAAAAAAGGCGGGGGGGGGGGGGGTTGACTGTTCATACAGTGTTTTTGTTTTTGATTAATGAAACCAGGGGCCAAAGCATCTTTCAGAAGACCTGTGTCTTCCTAACAAACTGTTATTCTTCTACTAGACCTGATTCACAAGTGTAATTACTTAGCATAAAGTTCTCCATCTTTTCTCGTGTTCACTTCCTCTTCTGTGTCCCACTGCCCAGTGGGTCTGCTAAGACTTTTGGGTGCAAGGAACATGAACCAAAGTTTAAGCAAAAGTGGTCATGTACTTGGCTCTTGTTTAGGAAAAGTCTTTGGCAGGGGCTGTCAGGCACAGCTGGATTGAGGACTTCAAGTGTTACTGAATAGGAGTCTTTCCCCTCCCTCTGCTTTCTCCATGTAGTAGCAGGTCCTGAGTCCTTTTCAGCATCACTGTCAACCTTGTTTGGGGCACACCCAGTTCTTCCGGTCAGTGTCTGTAGAGGTAGAATACTCTGATGGGTGGACCTGACTCATATACACTCTGCTGTAATGGAGGAAGGGCCACCTAACAGCACATCATTTGCACCAGGGGTGGCTCCAAGAAGCAGTTTGGCAGCAGAAACAGCCATCTTCTTTACTCCAGTGCACAGGTGCCTGCTGTGTGCTCTAGGTCCCGTCCCTTAGACATGATGGACTGTTGCAGGGAAGAACTGTGTCCTGTTCATCTCTCTATTCCCAGCACATTGACAGAGTATAGGTTCTTCAAAAATGACTGATAAACAGGTGAACAGTGGTTCCATTCTGTTAAATTGGATATTTTCCCCTTTTTTGTTATGAGCTGAAAGGTTTATGGTTTGACTGAAGGAGCTCTCCTTGGTGTTGGGATAATGGTGCTGACCTGGTGAAAATGGCCGTTCTGACAGGCAAGGAGCCTCAAGAGAAAGGACTAGCCACCTGGGGACAAATCTGGAGAGAAAGCCCATCTCTAGACAGTTTTTGACCTTATTGTAAGGCATCTTGCTTCCTAAGAGTAATTATTGTCAATATTTTGTTTTTAGCTCTCTCTCTGTTCAAAAGTGAGGAATCAGCCCTTAATCTCAGACAGTTGATTTCCTGTTTACTCTGTTCATGCCCCTCAGTCACTTTTATGGTATGGACCCCTTGTCCAGGTTTCTAAACAGGACTTTTGAGTGGTGCAGAGGAGGCCAGGAGTAATTCTTGTAAAAGTTTTCAAGTATGAATCAAAGAGATAACATTGATGAACCCTGAAGCCAGCTGCTGATTTGAAGTTGTTTCCTTAAAAAAAAAAGAAAAGAAAAGAAAAGCTTTTATTTGACAGAGTGGGAACACAAGGAGGCGGAGGGGAACAGGAGAGGGAGAAGCAGGCTCCCTGAGGGAGCCCGATGTGGGCCTTGATCCTAGGACCCTGGGATCCTGAGCAGAAGGCAGGTGCTTAACTGACTGAGCCACCCAGGTACCCTTTGAAGTTCTTTCTTAACAGCAAGCAGGAGGCTGGGGAAAACAACATAGAGTCCTTGAGTTCTTTATCTTGTCACCCATAATAATCCTAACATTCACAGAGTTTGTTGGAGATGTTCTTTGAAGGAATCTTTGGTTTGTTGCAGAAAAGCTTGATGTAACAGTGGCCCCTTCCAGAAGGGGAGCTCTGTGGCTGGAGGATAGGAGTAGGAGGGATCCTTCTTTGCTTATATTTTTACACTGTATGCCTGTTTATAAAGAATGTTTAACTTAAACAAGGGTCTTTGTAAATGCTTTTGATGATGCTAACACATATGAATGAATGTGTTATTCTAGCTCCAGATGGACGAAATCTTAAGTGACCTCCATAAGCAAATACATAGAGGGTACCTCCATCTGGGGAAGAGGGCAGATAGAATTCCCCCAGATCCATTAACAATGCCACTAATCTTAGAATATTCTACATCTTTCAGTGTAAACTTTAATTTAGGTTCCCTCCTAGTTGCTAATCATAAAAAAAAAAAAAAATTACATTTTTGTACAACATTTTCTGGTAAGCAGTGTTCACTATTTATATGCCTATTTAATTCAGCCTAAGTAAACTTGAGATTTACTCCATGGCTGAAATACCCACATTTTATAAATTACAAGTTTCTTGTAACTAAGCTCGTTTATGAGCATACTCACATTTTCAGAACTGTAGATGTATAAATTGGGTACCTACCATGCAGTGAGATGCTTCAGTTGGAGGTCTTAAAACCACTTGGTTAGCTCTGGGTGGTGGGCACTTAGAATGCCCGATGTATTGTCCATAGGAGAATGAGTTTTCCTTTATCCCCGGCTGCAATTTAATTCCCTGGGTGTTTTCTGTATAGACTGGTGACTTCAGTGGTGGTGACATTTCCAAATCATTGTGTATTTGTTTTTGCTGAGATGTTGAGCTGCGTATAAGCAGGAGGCGGGGGAAAGCAGTAATGGCTGTCTTCTGGGCTTATCTCTCCTCTGAAGTGAAGCAGGACTGACTTGGGAAGTTCCAAAAGAACTGCTGAATTTGGGCCCACAGAGAGTTTATGAAATGAATAGAGAAACAAGCTGTCTCTTCTCAGGCTGGGGCATTTGTGGGCATCTGTTTTGATGCCCGGTCTCTTCACAATTAGCCTGTAACATTTTCAGTATTTCTGAAACATTGCTGTCAGGTAGTTCTCTCTAACTGACGTGGTTGTGGGAACAGTTTTATTAAGCAACTGATTTAAAACTTTCAGAAAGATGGTTTAAACAGTTTAGCAATATAATTTCCACAAGGAATAATGGATTTGGCTTTGAATGCACATTAATTAGTAACCAAAGTGACTTCTGAGTCCGCTTATTAAGTCATATGCAGATTGTTGGATGGCAGAGTATATAGAGGACACATAGTCGTGCTTCTTAGCTGCTGAGGATGGGAAGGCTGATCCGTGTTTTTTAGTGAAATGCATTCTTTCTTGGCCTCAATTATACTTCATGTAGAATATTTTGAAACTTCTAAGTTCTGATGACATAGCCAAATTCAGAATTTGTAGGAGTTGTTTGTTTTGGTAGGCTTCACTCTTCCATTTTTCATAGTTAATATTGATTTTTGGATTAGAATAATAAAGGAGGTAACATGATGCTGTGTTACATTTAGATTAGTTGATTATGGTTGTACTTACAAATGGTAGTGGTATTATAGAGTAACAGCCTTTATTAGAACACCAGATTTGTGTGTATTAAACTTTAATTCCTATTGCTTTGGCTTTTGGGTTTTTGCCTCTGGTTTTGGTTTTTGGAACTATTTTATATTCTACGAAATTTATTTGGATTATTACATTGATAAATTCTTACCGTATTTTATAGGATACATTTATGGTCACATGGAAGCCATACAAATACTAATTTTATTTTAACTTTTGTTTTTTAAGGAACTTGGGGAAGTGGATCTAAATTTGTGCTTTAATGTATTAGGTCATTTAAATAATTTTTCAGTTCGTTCACACATACATATAAGCTTTTCATTTTTCAAGAGGAGCCCCTAAAGTCTGTAACACAGTTATCATCTGCCCTGATGCTGAGTGCCTTTGTCCAGGTGTGGTGCTGGCTGGGGGGGCGAGGTACACAACCAGGAGTGTCTTTAGTTTGGATAGTATTTGGAAACACTGAAGGATATTTCTTTAAGATCATCACAGTAATGTGCAGGACAGTTCCCAGAAAACAAAAACTTCTTTTCCCTGGCACTCAAAATTTTGTGATAATGATGCTGAAATGGTGAACATTTTTCTATTTTCAGAGGTTCAACAACACAAGGAGAAAAGCACTCACACTCGATTTTAAGATAATCGGTTGGTATTATTAACCTAATTCTCAACTTTAAAAAAACCAGTTTGGTGATGAACTTAAACTCTAATTAGAATTGTGCCAGATTAAACTCATAGTTGATCTATAACATAAAATGTCCTGTTAAAAATAGAAAAGATCAGAGAGCACTTACTTTGCCTGCCTGCTTTAAGTAATCAGAACATACTAGATAAGGGTATCCACTCACCTTCTTGGTCAGCGGGCCAGGGTTTGTGGTCCTACCGTCAGTGGAACTAGGAAATATTACAAGTTGTACGTGTTTTGACTTGACTTAAATTTTTTTTTCCAATAGAAACTATGTTCCAACTTCCTGTCAACAATCTTGGCAGTTTAAGAAAAGCCCGGAAAACTGTGAAAAAAATACTTAGTGACATTGGGTTGGAATACTGTAAAGAACACATAGAAGTAAGTAGCATGCCATTTTTTAATTTTAACATGACTCAGCTTCTGATCCATTACTTTGTGTCAGCAGCCGGGATTGGTTAATTCTTAGTTGTGATTCTGAATTGTAACTGCAGCATTAGCTTCACCAGAGCTTTCTCAGTTGACTTAACTTGTTCCCTTCTCCCTAAAATGGGCTTTTTCATCTTTGCATCATGAAACAAAAGCAGTTCTACTGGTGAGGATGTATCATGTCAGACACTTCAGGTGCTTTAGAATTGTCTCTAAATTCAGATTCTTAGAACAACCCCTGGGGGAGATGTAGGAATTCTTATCTCCAGTTTACAATGAAGAACCAGTAAAGATCTAGGTCCACCTCACAGCTAAGCATATGGCAGGGTCTGTCTGCGGGACTCCAGAGCCTGTTCTCATTCTGATATGCCTGAGTGTTCTGGTTGACCTTCTCATTGTTGAGGCATGGTGGTTTGGGTGCTTGTTGTCTCTTTGCTTAGGATTTGAGCATTTGTTGGCCCTTCTGACCCATCATGCACTATTATCTTCCCCTTGTATAACAGTTTGGACTTTTGAAAACTGTTTTTCTAACCTTTTGTCTATGAGCTTTATAACAGCCCTGTGGGATAGCCAGTGTACTGGTCTCCTTTTCCAGATCTCATTGCTCCAGGTCTTGCGGTTTAGTTGGTCAAAGCCTCTGACTGAAATATTTAAAGCTGTTTTCCCCACTAGCCTCTAAGTTCCAGCTGGCAAGGGACCATAACCACCTTGTCCATCCATGTATAACCAGCACCTAGCACAGTGCTGGGTACGTAATAGGCATTCAGTAAATGTTTGGATGGAATTAAAAGTTAAAAAACAGTTTCCTTCATGCAACAGGTTTTCTTTTCCTGATTCCCATGAATAATACTTGAGGGGTATATCATGAAGACTGAAGCTTCTCAAAAGTGGGCTTCTCTAGTTATGTTATCCCCAGTGTGGAAGTTCACTGCCTCTCCAGCCCCTCAGATTCAGGTAGTTCTGCCCGATGAAACAGTCCATCTGTTTCCACTTTGCACTCAGTGGAGTAATCTGCACAAGGATAAATAATGCAAATGTTAAGGTACCTTTTCTATCCTGCATTTGACGTGTTCCTCCCATTATTACACCCATTACATACTCTGGAATTTATACGTATTTGATTTTGCCACACTGAACTGTGAATCTTTTAGCAGCCAAGGGGAATTTTTTCCTAAGACTTTTTATCTTCCTGGCCTGGGGGGAAAATGGGCCATTAAATTTTTACGTAAGAGTATAAATTTGACGTAATACTGCTTACTTTTCTTCGAATAGCTTGCTTTCTTCCTTTTGCGGATTCAGAAGTCCTGAGTTTTCTTCCCAGTCCATTTCGACCCCTTTTTTCCCCTCAGAAACAGAATATCGCATCCATGGTGCTGTAAGCAAACATTGCTAGCTTATACTCCATTCTAATACTACAACTGATGAGCTACAATACTCTAATGAAAGGAGCTTTGGTATTAATATGTGTCTGAATTTTTTACTTAATTAGAACTTCCAGTAGTTTCCTTGGAAACCTGGCTGACCATTAGGGGAATGTTTGGTTGTTAGAAAATGTAGAATGCAACTTCCATATGCCTTTTTGTATTTCCTAAGAGCCTTATCATTCCTAGTTTAGTTCTTGGTGGGGTTGGTTTTTCTGTGTGTCTTAGCTCTAGTTAAGAGATGGGATTTCTAAGTAAGGTTGGGCTAGAGTTAGTATCACTGTGTTTTTGTAAACTTTTTTCACTGTTTTCTAGGATTTTAAACAGTTTGAACCTAATGACTTTTATTTGAAAAACACTACATGGGAGGATGTAGGACTGTGGGACCCTTCACTTACAAAAAATCAGGTAAGTAGCACAGGGGACTTCCCCAAATGGCTACATCCTTGGTATACTCCCTTTTCAGCTCTAGGCCTGTCATAGTGAAGCATTGTTTTGTGGGCAGCAACCTTGTATGGAAAATGTCAAAATTGATTATTTGTTTTCCTTTTTTTATTTTTTTTTTTAAAGATTTTATTTATTTATTTGACAGAGAGAGACACAGCGAGAGAGGGAACACAAGTAG